CGTGGCCGTGGGCGGCCCACGGCACCCCGGGCGGGCCCGTGGGCGGCCCGTCTTCAGGGAACCACTTCATCAGAGAGAAATGACCTCGACGGGCCGCTTTTACAGAGCAACGGTTTATTAAAAGATCAAACCCGGCGAAGGGCGTCCAGAATTATTTTCAAGATCTCAAAATAACTGGAGAAGAACGATCTCCTGAAGGGGACAGGCCTTGTTCTCACTGTCCAAACCAGCCGTGTGCGCGGGGTCACAGGCCGTCAGGGCCGACGCTGCCACCGAGAGACGAGGGGGTCCTGTGGAACGGGGCGTCACGCTGGACATGACTGTTGTTGACAGGAACACGCCGTATGAGCAGAAACGGTGCTCACGACGTCCTCAGATTTCTGGTCTAGCCTAATCTGCCTGTCCAGGTTGAGAGTGGAGTCTGTAAACAAGAGGAAAAAGAGGTCGTGTGAGGGGTTTTTTATACATCGATGTACTCAAGTGTTAGTTCGGTCAACCTCATGGTTTTTCACAGAATCGCAGTCGGACATACTGGTTGCGTTGTGCACAGGTACCCGTTCTGCAGACTCACCAGCTGGTACACAGTGGAAGCCCACGGAGACAGGAACAGTCCTGGTTGCTGAACAGCCTTCTACGCAGTGTAGAACTGGCTCCACAGAGAAGCATTTTGCTGCCTTCTTCTCAAATGCAACTGGCTTCTCAATTTTGACAAATTTACGCTGCAGCTTACAAGCTATAAAACATGAGTTCTCTTAAAGCACTTAACAGAATTTATATAAATAACTTTTTCGACTTAATTTGTAGAATTAGCAACAACTAAGACCAATGGATAAACCAAGTTACACATGCTACGTGAAACTAATCTGATTGAAGTGAGTCGATTTTCTGTCAGTGGCTTAGGCTGTGAGAAAATCAGGCATGTGGGACACAGTCCCAAGGACAGAGGCTTGCCAACTAGGACACAGGTGTCCAAAAAGATACATGTGAAAACCTTGGTCAACTGACACTCAACTTTACCTGAACTATGACAGCACTTCATTTTGGGGCGGTAGTGGCTCCTAGACATCTGTATATCCGCTTCTGCGCTGTGCCTAGCATCACACCCGCCTTGCCATGGCTGAGTTCTTAAGCCTCTGTGATCCAGGCTTTCCTGGACCAGTCCCCCCAGGGAGCTTGATCTAAGACTATTCCAAAAATGCCACCACGTGCCCGGAGGGTTGGGTTCCACACAAAATGCGGTGCACCCTAATGTTATCAATATGTTCATGTCATCGTTTTTATACAGGACCTGAATGGTAAGAACAATCATTCCCAGGCTGAAGGTTTCAGATTAAGTTCATCTTCAGCCTGAGGAAATTAAAACAGGTATTTCCCACCTCAAGTGCCCTCTAGTTTGATAGCTGGGCTAGATTTTAAATTTTTTTCTGGGAAACGAAAAGCCTGGAAATGACAGAATGGAAATAAAGAATGAAACTATTAAGGATGACATAAAATGTCTTTTGTCAACAATCAAACCGCCTACTCTTCATACTAACTTATCATCTTAGTTTTAAGTTTATAATTTTATCTGGAACACACAAACGTCAGGTAACTACATAGTGCATAAGAAGTTGATATAAAAATGCAACAAAACTAGAACTTGCAATGAACTACCAAATTCAGGAAAAACAGATTTTTTTGTAAGTCTATGGCCACTAATCACAAAAATAGTGAAAAATGTAAGATGATTGTGCTACAATTAATATAAATCATCTATTCATGTGACTAATCAATTAGTCAAAGGCAATGACATTAATATATGTTAGAATGTTAGTACCTCCAGCACAGGGGTCTTCTGAGATGATCCAGGACTGACCAAAACTCACTGCATCTTTAGCTAAATATCCACTGGGCATCTGATATTCCCTTTCCTTCTCAGCGTCGTATTTTCCACAAATACCACATGTTTTTCCAGCCATCCAGAAAGCAATCTGAATCTTTGCGGAAATGAAGAAAAGATGCACTTAAATGTTTTTCTTCTAAAAATAAAACCACTGAAAATAATTTTAAAAAATACCTCAAGTCTATGCCCATCATAATATAGTTTATCTATGCCATAATCCGGGGCTTTTAGTGACAAGCCTTCCTTTTCACTGCTGATCAGCATGCTTGCATCTGCAACAAAAAAGCGGAAAGGGATTTCTTTTAAAAGGAAGTTATTGTTTTAGGGTCCAACCCGAACCACCTGTTAAAATCCTGGGGACTTAATGCAGGCTCTACCGTATCTTGAAAGAGATGGGGGAAATGAGAAGGACCGTACTGCTTCCTGGCCTGGAACAAGCCGAAGCCCTGTGACAAGGGTGGCTGTGGCCAGGGGACATCTAGAAGCTGCTTCTGTGGGTCTCTGTGATCAGCACAAGGAACCGCAGCCCTGCATTATTTGGTTTGTGCAAAGATACACAGGATCAGCATCTCTTTCTTTGCCCACCTTTCATGCCACCCCCTATGAAAGCTAGCATGAAGGTATGTTAAAATCACCTAATTGTTTCTCAAATTAGGGCGATCTTTATCTTGAGAGGTGTTTGCAGGATCACGTCCTCACCTTCTTCCAAAGATCAGAAAAGATTAAATGAAATAGAAAGGTGAGTCTCTTACCAGAATTAGATGTGTACGGAACATCCGTTGGGGCTTGAACACCATTAATCTTCAACTGGATGAGTCCATTGGAAACATACATGTCAACCTCACTTTAAGCAAAGGAAATTAGTATAAACAAATGTTTCTCCTTTGCCCTACTCAGCTTACAATTTCTAGTCCTGGTAGAACCAACGCTGCAGGATGCTCATATCATTCTGGCATGAATCACCTGCTACGCTTTGGGAGGAAGATTGAGAGAGCCCAGGAAAGGGTGCCTGGAGGAGTGCTCACAGTACACCTTTCCCTGGCTTTACTCATTCCTGAGTGTCTGCTTGTGGCCACGGTTCAGGCAGGAAGACACCAGGCTTCGGAACAAGACACCCTTGCTGCGGAACAATATAATTGCTATTACGTTCGCATAAATTGAAGGTGCTTTACATTTCAAAGGCAGATTGAATTCCCTGTGGCAGTTCTCTTACAGCCTGAATAGTCTGTGTATCGTAGTATTTTCTTCAGAGCAGTGCTTGCACTAATGAAGAAATATGAAGCTCAAGCACATCAAAAGCACATCCATACAGTTGTATGAAACAATCAGGAATGATACAGTGACGAGGAATGTCTTTATCACAAAAGATACAGTCTATAAAATGAGCATTTTTCTGTTCTACAAAGCAGGTGCAGGGAATACTAGTTTATCTCTGTTTCTCTAACATTGTGGCACAGTTAGGCACACAATTTTCAAAATAAATAATTACTTGTAATGAAACCTTACAGATCAAAGCCTATTTATGCGCTTTGAAGAATACTCCCTACAACGATTTTGGTTTGCATAATCCAATACAATTTAGAGTATCAGACTATACTTTTAAAGAAGAACCTACCATGGCAGAGGTGGTTGCTCCAAGATGAAACAAAGTGTGTCTTAAGTTAATTTCAAATAGATTAGAACGTTATGTACCAACTAAGGGAAGACCTAAGAGAATGCCTCTAATCTGGGCTAAGTAATTCCCTTTTTAGCTATGTGCACTTCTCAGCATCTCTGCTGAGATGATTGTGGGTGCTAATTAGTTCTAATTATTATCTTAGTGTAGGAGGCCAGCCTAAATTATTACAATAGTCCCTTTTGGATTTATGGTTTATGTGTCTACCTAATTACTAAGAACTGAAATGAGATGGTTAAATGCTAACAAATTCATGAAGAATTTTGGGCAATAAAGACTTTAGGTTACTGTGAACTTCGGATGTATTTCAGAAGCGCTTTTGAAAGACAAAGTCCCAAATCCCAGTGACACTCCTAGAAATCTTTCCATTGAGATCAGTAATTTTTGCACGAGTCTTACGCTAGCACCAATCTGCCCTAACAATCTGGTCTTCACATTTCTATCATGCTCAGCTTGGCATCTATTCGTCATTAAGTTTGCAATTACTTACTGGCTGGCGAGTCTGACATTTATTGCTGTAAGGTCAGCAGACCCTTCAAGTCTTTTCATCATCACCAGGAATTTCAGTTCTGAACTACAGTCCTGCACCAAGACATGGTAGCAGTTTGCAGGCATTGAATAGTTAAATTCAACTCCATTGAAGGTTGTGATCGTATTTTGGAAAACTGAACAACGAGCTGAAAAAAAAATTGGTCAGAAGCAAGCCTTTTTTACTTTATATAAGACAGTTATTCTATTTTAGATTTGTAATTTAAAAAAAAAAAAAAAAGACCATTTTCTGGTTTTACCTATTCCCACGTAAAAGCAAAATGATTCCTTCAGATGAAATATTGGATTTGTAGTAATACGAAAGCAAAACTTTGCCAGTCCCCAGACAGCAGCACAACCCGCTCATGATTCAGTCATTGTGTGAGATAAATTCTGCTCACAGCTGGTGCAACTCTTTGTTTGTGGCCTTTTGGCTTTTGTAACTTTGTTGTAGTCAAAATAATTTCTCAAATGGTGTTAACAGTTCACATATCATTAACACTAGAGGAAGTTCACTAAAATGCTGGTGCCTTAGTTGCGTCATAACCAGCATTAGAAATAGTTCGAAGATGGGGAGGGAAAAAAAGCCACACTAGAGTGAACTTCTCCCTTTTTCACTGTAGTGGTATTTGTTGGAAATCCTACCAGCTCTGATTAGAAATTATTTTACAGCAATTTTAATTAATACAGGCTAGTTTGGGTGTTTACCAGACAAATACGCATAGGTATGATATCAGCCCACTGATTTCAAGCAAAATGTGACTCCTTATCCGAGGATTACATAAAGCTTTTCCATTTAAAATTTACCCTAAGTAAGTATAATGTAATTAGCTCTTAATACAGCATTAATGAAACAATAATCCCTTCAAAATCAAGTACAGGAGGTGAAATTAATGGGTATGCTTTTGAAGCTGTTTTAGCTTCTACATAACAGCACTAATCAAGCAGAGCACCCCAAATCTGAGGTCACTTAGATATCCCTCTCATAAATTTTGTAATGTTTTTTTCTTCACAAGTAATCTGCACAGTGAAGCTGAAATGGATGCATTTGGGAATGGATGCATTTGGAATCACTATTTGGCATGGAACCGAATATTTAATCTCACTAATGCAAAGTTTCCTTTTCTTTACATCTTTGCAGCCTCACAGATTTTCATCCAGATGGGTTTATTTCTATCTGAAGTCCAACTGATTTTTTCAGTGAATGTAAAATAATTTCAAGTTATGTCAAAGGTATAAATCATATTTGCAAAATCTGCAAAGTCAGTCAGTGCTTGCGCAGAGAGTTAATTGCTGACCTTTAAGGTTTTCAGTGATTGAAAGCGTTGCTTGGGAAAAGACATTCTGGTCAGGGGATGGCAGTGTTGAAATCGGTGTACCTGGACTTGAAGGGAATGGCAGGGGAAGCCTGATGGCTCTGTCGTAAATTGTGAGCTGAAAATCAGTCGGAAAACAAACATGAATGTAAATGCAAAATACAGTGTAGAGATGAGATAGCATTTTCCTATAATGTTCAAAGAGGACTGTACTAACTGAAATCTAAATTAGAATCTAGATTTAGGTCAGAGCTAAAAAGAAATCAAGTCCTCTGTCTACAGCATGAAATAGCTGTACAGTTTGACACGTCTGTAACCTATAGAACAGCAGTGCTATAAATGAAGTTTGATATTCACCAATTTGCAGCTTTTTGGGGAGTTGTACATCACATTTGCTCATAGTCCGAACAGCTTGCTTACCTGAGATGCACACCCTCTCCTTGCCTGTACGTTGAGGGCTGCATGCTTCTCTACAGCCTGGTTTTATTATCTTTTCCAAGACACAGGAAAACCTATCATCCTCCTGAAGATTTGGGAAGGAGTGGTCTTTTTAATAAGATATTGTTAATGTGCTATCAATCATGATGGTTGTTTTGTAACCTGTTTCTTATTTCATGTGTTTGCATGCTACATGAGAAAGAGAAATGTAAGATATTTTCATAACGGAACCAACTGCGTGAATATAATGTCCTTGTGGTGGGAGTTTCTTTATTGTTTAATACATTAAAAACAAAACCAGTGGGTTAAAAAAAGCTATTAACCTTTGATTTCATAAGTACTGAATGCCCCAGGATAAAAGATAGTGGAAATAGTTACCTCAGGTAACTTGAGGACCACATCACAGGTTCTTGGAGATGTCAGAGCCATAACGAAGGTTGCCTGGTGAGAGGGACCACACTGTTGCCTTTGGGAATACCCAAGCACATACGCAGCTCCTGGAAGAAGTGAGTAGAACCTGGAAAAGGAAGTAAGCGATTAAAATGATCTGTCTTTGAAAAAATTGGTTATTATTTGTTCAGACTAAATTACCCCCGTAAAGCAATATGCATTCTGTGTTAGACATGTTTTCTATCAGGGTTTGGTAATACATGGTGATGTGTATGGGAGGAGCAGCAGGCAGATTTTAACTGTTAATGGGTGTCCTGGTTTCAGCTGGGATGGAGTTAATTTTCTTCCCAGTAGCTGGTACAGTGCTGTGTTTTGGATTTAGTAGGAAAATAATGTTGATAACACACCGATGTTTTAGTTGTTGCTGAGCAGTGCTTACACTAGTCAAGGACTTTTCAGCTCCCCATGCTCTACCGACTGAGAAGGCTGGAGGTGCAGAAGAAGCTGGGAGGGGGCACAGCCAGGACAGCTGACCCCAACTGACCCAAGGGATATCCCACACCATATGACGTCATGCTCAG